TACAATCATGTCAATGTATTAACCAACTCCAAGGAGTTGTTCCTGATTTGCAGTAAGGCAAAAGCCTCAGAGACGCCCACTAATTCACTGGAGTCCCAAAGCTAGTGTTGGAGGTAGGGCTCCAGGAGGCCAGAGCGCACTCCTTGAGGTCTCCATTATAGCTTGGCTTTCTGGAGGAGCAGCCCCTCTTACCCGTTCTTGTTCCTTCATTTGAACTAGGGCCGTTGTCAGTCAGCTCCTGGATGCCTTTCGGGGTGTGGTATATCCGCGGTGAGGGGGAGGCAGTGAGCGCAGAGCATCCCTTTGTGGCTCCATTAGGGACATGGGGGCCCAAGTGGATCTCAATGGTAGGCCAGGGAGCACTTCGGGGCAGGAAGTGTGGAGTCTTGGGGCAGGGGTGGAGTGGGCTGTTTGTGCTTAGCCGCCCTGAATGGGGCAGCAGGAGGAAGGCAGAGCTGATACCTTGGTTAGTATGGGCTGCAGGTAATCTTCTGGCTCACAGGTGGGCTCTTGGGTGTGTGAACGAATGTGCGAAATGCATGCATGACTGACTGAATGAATTTACATCCTCTAGGAGAGGAGAGGGGGCTCACTATAAGTGGCTACTAGAGGCCCTAATCCTTAAAGAGAGGGTGGTCCCCACCCCTAAATCCTTTGATTAAAACTAAAGTGCAAAAATGTCCATTTAAGATCTGATTTAAGTCAATACATATATTTTTGCCCGCATTTAGAACGTCTAGTCCTCTTTATTTTCATTTCTCGGTATCCCTGAATTGAGGGGTCCAAAATACACATTTGGACAGCCTTAGAGTAGTGGAGAAGGCCCTAGAGGAGTTCCCCTCTAACAAACGGTGATAACCTGTGCCTCAGTTTCTTGCTCTCTAAATTGGACGAACTAACTCCTGCACTGTGGGGCTAAAGCGCCCTTGTTAAGGGCTGAAACACTGTGTTTTTAATAATTTGTCCCCTAGGACTGTGGTCCTTGCTCTGGCCCTGAATTACTGCGACGTTACCCGCCAACCGACCCCCCTCCCCTGCTGCCCCCTTCTTCTCTTCCGCCGTTCCTCCCCAGTTTTTCAGGGCATTAGGTTGGGTTCCAGTTTTCCTGATCATTCAGCTTTAATCGCCTTCGGTAACCTCCAGGCCACTGCCGCCAGCGGAACCTTCCCGACTTTGCGACCTCAGGCTGCAGCGCGGAGGCATCCCGGCCCCGCCCCTCGGCGCTTCCCCGTTGCTGCCAAGCCGAGCGCACGGATCACGCGGGCCTGAGCCGCTCTGGGCATGCTCAGTGGCCTGGCAGGTGGGGCCGCCACGGGACGCCAGGTCCGGCGGAGAGCGTAGGGGTGGGGGCCGAGAGGGAAGTGGGCGGGAGCAGCGGGCAGAGTCGCCAGAGTTGCTGGCGGCCGCGGGGACCTGAGCAGGTGGGACCCCGCGCGGGCCCGGCCGGGATGAGCAATGGCATCGGTCAAGGTGGCCGTGAGGGTCCGGCCTATGAATCGCAGGTGAGTGGGGAGCGGTGCAGGCGATCTCCTGACGCACCCCCACCCGGTGGAAGTTGGTCTCCAACTTTCCTCCAAGGCCGGCCTGAACTTAAGTGTCACGGGCCGGTCTCTGGCCCACTTGGCTCTGACTGTGGTCTCTGGGGGCCCAGAGCACTTTATGCTTTGCTGTCCCTTTCACGCTTCACTGGAGGGGACTATGGGGGTAGAGTTCACGAGGCCACGGAGAGGATTCCTATAAACTCTTCCCCATTCCATTGACTTGAGGAGGTTTGCTTCTACCCTTTTAAAAAAACAAGGGATCACTTTCATGAAGGTGTAAAATCCTTCAGGGGGACTGAGAGTGGTCGCGCAGGCACCAGAGCTGTTAGGCAAACTCCCCTCAGCTTTGCCAATTCAGAAGTTAAGTATTACCAATATTACTTTTTTACCTCTTAATAACAGATGATTTCGATTCCCTGAATGTGAACCCTAACTTTAATTAGTAATTTAGCAGTTCTTAATTTCTGGCTAAAGAGTAGGTGGGAAAACTTTTAACAAAGTTTTGACTTCTGGGGGGAAAGAAAACAAGGACACAAGTACACGTGTTTGAAATATGGTGACGTTAACAGAGGGGGAGAGTTATAAACCCATTTAGAATTTAATCCTCTATATTTCTACAAATTAATGCTTTTCAGAATGATTTGACTCTGAATTCACTGAAAAATAACCTAGATTTCCTTTTCAATGACCTCTTTATAATCAGTTTAGAAAGATACTTTAGAAAAGTTACTTTTAAAATTAGGTTATCTTTAAAGAATGAAGTAGACATAAATGGATGTGTCCTCTGAGTTGACAGGCACAGTTCACACAATGCCATTTTGTTTTTGGCTATCAACTTGTTGGACATTTGACTTACCATACGGTTTTCCCCTTTCATCATACCAACTTGTAGAGGTCATTGTTTGGTAGTTCTGACAGCTGATCAGGGCATCAGAAGATCATAAAATCAAGAGATTGCCAGAACATTCTTTGACTCATCTAAAGCTGTTTTTCTGTTGGCAAATAGGAAATTTTATTTTGGTTTGGAACTATTGGAAATCAGTACGTTTGTGATTTTCAACTTATTTTTAAGCTTTTGCGGGAAGGAGTTTGACCTTTCTGTAAATTCTGAGAGAATATGTATGTTTCTCTATATATTCAGTCATAGAAGACAGACTCTAAAGTCATTGAGATGATTTAAAAACATTTTTCTTTGTTCTGGATTTATGTACATATTTAGAAGTTCTTTTCCTTCTTTGGAATAATATGAGCACATGCTGAAAGATTGTATCAGATAACTTGAGAAAGTGTTTATTGAGTGCCTACCAAATGCACAGCATTATGCTGGGTGCTCTCTGAGGGACAAGGTGAACGAGGTCTGATGAGTGTCTTCTAGGAGCCCACCGTCTGGTGAGGAAGGGCCTACATGCTGGCAGAACTCTCAAAAAAAATTGGGCTAGCTGGAAGGGGTGCTGCGAGCGTGGTGCCTTGCTTGTGCAGGCTTGGGGCAGATGCTTAAGGAGGGATGGCAGGAACCGTGTCCAAAAGCGCTGTGCTTTGAAGAGGTAGATTGAAATGATGATATTTGCGCTGTTAGCAGAGAACACTGGTGGTGGCATCAGCATTGGGGCAAAAGGTAAGGAAGCAGCGGTATGGGCCAGAGGTGGGAAGGGAAGGGGAAGCCTGGATAGATAGACCAAGATGGATTATTGGCGGAATTGACAGGATTTGGTAGCTCACTGGGTGGGAAGGCGGGGGGAAGGGAGGGAACAGAGTCATTAACTGAGGTTTGATGATCAAGGAAGTGGAAGAGTTTGGGACCGTGAACAGTGAGGTTGGTATGTTCTCTCTTGGATATGTAAAGTTACATGCGATGCGGTAAGTGTCAAGGACAAGCACAGCGTCTGAGACAAGAGTGAGTGTTGATCCTGTTTGTTATGTGAAGTGTGGGAAGGACATCCATCCATTTCTTTGCTGGTCTTCAGTAGACAGGCACATTGGTTTAGGTCTCAGGTGATCTGAGATTGACATTTGGAAGTCTTTTGCACATAGATGACAGTTTAAGGATGTTAAAGTGAGAAGAAAAGGGAGCCAGGGATTGGACTCTGGGATATGCTCCTCTTTAGGATTCCAGGGAGAAGAGTGGCTTGTACCTCATGGAGAACCAGCACAGCAAATTGTCATGGCAGGGAACGGAGAAGTGCTTCCTGAAGGAAGGGTCGTTAGTGTCAGATGTTGCCAAGGTGGTGCTCTTGATGATTCGAGTAAGATGAGGTCCTTGGTCTTGGAGACAAGGGCATTGATAACCTATCAAAGAGCAGGAGAGAGAATGATCCAGAAGTTGGCAGTAAAATGGAATAGAGGTATACAAATGGCCAACCAAAAATACTGGACCTAACTTACTAGGAAAGACATACAAATTATAATAGCAGTAAGAAACCATTTTTTACTGGTGAGATTGGTGACTATAAACTGATCATCAAGTGCTGGTGAAGGAGTGGTGATGGAAGCATAAAGGGTTAAACCTCTGCAACTTTCATATTGGGAAATTTGACAGTAGTTGTCAAGATTAGACATTTATGAACTCTTTGATCGGGCAATTTCATTTCTAAGACTTTATTTTATGGATTATATTCCTACCTACCAAGGTGTATGTGTAAGGTTGTTTGTTGCATCATTATGTATAACAACAAAAAAATCATAAATGACCTAAATGTAGAAAGATGGGGGATTTGTTAAGTGATGGCCTATTCATTGGGTAGAATGCTCTGCAGTACTTGGAAAAGAATGTATGGATCATAAAAGAGCTCCAAGATAGTGAATTAAGTGAGAAAAACAAGATATCCACACATACTACAGTAGAATTGTATGAATGTGTGTTAAAAAAATGTATACGTAGATATATGTACACACACATGGCTATATCTGTACAGAATTATTCCTAGAAAGCCTAACAGTGGTATAACTGTGGAGGAGGACTGATGAATCTGTTATGTGAAGATGGAAGGCTTTTCTTTTTCTCTTTGTACTGTTTGAATTTTTACTTTGCTCAGGCATAGTTTTATAATTAATAAAAACTTGTTTATGTAATTTTTAAAAGTTACCTAAAAAAGTCATTGGCACTGGAAAAGTAATTTTTAGCTGGTTGTTTGGGAGGATTGAAGGAAGTTGTTAAAAATTTTTTTTCCCCAGTCTTATGGAATTATAATTGACATATAGTACTATGTAAATTTAAGGTGTACAGCATAATGACTTACATATTATTGTGAAATGATTACTACAGTAAGTTTAGTTTGCATCCATTATCTCATATAATACCATAAAAAAAAAGAAAAAAGGAAAATGTTGTTTTCCATATGATGAGAACCGTGCAGCAGTGTTAACTATATTATGCTGAACAATTAAATTCCCAGTTCTTAATTGTCTTATAACTGGAAGTTTGTACCTTTTGACCACCTTCATTGAATTCTTCTACCCGCTGCCTCTGGTAGCCATAAATCTAATCTCTTTTTCATGAGGTTTTTCTTTGTTTGTTTGCTTTTTTTTTTTGGTTCCATATGCAAGTGAGATCATATAGTATTTTAGTATTTGTCTTTTTCTGTCTGACTCATTTCACTTAGCATGTGTGCTCAAGGTCCATCAATTTTGTTGCATCCACTTTATACGTGAATAATATTCGTGTGTGTGTGTGTGTATGTGTATATCACAACTTTTTTTTTTTTTAAGATTTTTATTGGGGAATTGGGGGATGGGAACAGTGCTGGGGAATTAGGGGAAGGGGAACAGACAAGTTGCTGTGGAGGGCAGTGTCACTGGCCCTCATATGTGGGATCCGAACCGGGTCCTCTGGCGTTCCAAGCCAGCTCTTAACCAACATGCCACTTGGCCGGCCCTCACAACTTCTTTAACCATTAATCTGTCGATGCACATTTAGGTTGTTCCCATGGCTTGGCTATTATAAATAATGCTGCTATGAACATAGAGGTGCATATATAAAACTTTTTTTTAGTATATGTGCTGCCGAAGCGAGCACAAAAAGTTTTTTTTTAAATGTTAGTTTTTTAGAGTAGAGGAGCTTCAGGCAAAGGGGAAGCAGCCAACAGAAAGGAGGGAGAGGCCTGGAGTGATTAGAAAGTGAGCATGGCTGTTGCTGCCAGGAGCTTCAAGAATGGGGGAAAGGTGGTAAGATACTGAGATTCTGAGTTGGGAGACTTGTTACCAGTCCTTGCAGGGAACACCTGATGCTTGATTCAGGTCAAGATGTGATGCATTTGTTTTTACTATCGTGTGGCTTTTCATTATGTGGCAGACGAGTAGTTTCAATTTCGAAAGAGCCATTATGTTGCGTCATACAATAGCAGCTACCTTTATTGAGAATTTGTTTGTGCCAGTAGTACAAAATCTAGTTTAATATTTGCAACAGGTTTAGCAAGTAGATGCTATTATTGTCATGCCATTTTAAAGATTGGGAAACTAATTGCCTAAAATCAGTTTCTTAGGACAGTCACAGGTATGCTTTTCAAAATGAGTAAAACATCAGGAGAAACATCACTACTCATAACTTTTATGAGCAAAAGTTTAACGTTTATGTATTGTCTGTATACCTTTTTGTTTGTGATTTGTTCCATTGTTCTAATGCCTCGTTTTTCTAATGGCTTCATTTTGTAGTTTTACAAGATAGATTTTTTTTCCCCCTCTGAAGAGACAACAAAATAATAATTTCGTAACTAACTTGTCCATTTCCTGTTAGTTTCACTTGGTCATTTTTTCATTGGAACACTACATGATTCTTCAGGGCCATCTACCCTGTCCCACTGATATGCTAATGTTCACAGGATCAAAATCTGAGGGCGGCCTGCCTGGGTTCCAGTTTTGGCTGTCATTTACAAGCTGGGGTAAATTTGAGCAAGTGACTTAATTGTTCTAAGCCTCAGTTTTTGCATCTGTAGAATGGTGATAATAATTGTACATACCTTATAAGT